TCAACCATACACCATATTCTTTACCCAGAAGATGTGAGGTACCGATATACCTATGGTCTCTTGAAATTAAACAGATCTCTCTACAAATACCAGAACATATACCAGCAAACAAATGTTCCTTTGTTAAACCACTCCGATATATGACTAATTCATTATCACATCACAAGGAGAAAATGAATCAAGGAAAGTAGCTAAATTCCAACTGTGACAAGGAGAGGACAAAAGGATGCTAAGGAAAAGTCGAAGAAAAATCAATTTCTTCTTAGCCACAATGGGATTCCAGAAATGGCCCAAAGCCAGCAGTCACCTGGTAATGGTCATTGCATTTGCCAACTGTTCCTGACAGAGATATGTTTCTATGCCTCTAGAAATAAGTCCAAGATCGTGTGGATTGGTTAACCTCCTTTTCCAAAATACATTCTGGTGACCACAAGAAGAGAGGTCTGAGATAAAGCTATGTGAGAAACACAAGAAAGGTCCTTTCATTATAGAATAGATTCACTGAATCGATAGCCAGACTAAGCTAAATCCTCTTGCTTTACCAAACTCTCACTACTTATTTGGCAAACGTCTATTGAAAACATAAAGGAGCCGAGGACATAAAGACAGACAAGCCACAATCCCCCTTTCTAACAAACTCGCAATCTACCCGGGGAAAATGTTTAAATAATCAACTACGATGACGCGTGGTAAGTGCTACTTTGCAAGGAGCCTGAATAAAGGACTCCTGTAGGGATGAAGAGACATAATCCTGGCTTCCCGAAGTAGTCAAACAGCCTTTGCGTGTGTGCACAGCACTGCCAATCACAACAATGTGACAGCATAAGATGTGAACCTAGCCTCAGCGAAGGCATGGAAGTAAAGCAGGAGGACACAGTAAAGTCCAAGGATGGCACAGAGTGTGTTGTGGCTGGGAAGTATGTCAAATGCTGCAGACTCTAATGCTTCTATATTCAAATGAACATCAAAAAAGTAGCAAAGCAAACCTGATAGTAAGTAGCAACTGACACTCTGCCTTAGTGTCTGAAGGACATGAGGAGGTTGTGGCCAACTGCAACAGGCTTACCCCGCCAAGAAAAGCAGAGGCTGGGAGCCCCAGCCAACTGTTGCCGTGCAGAAATTTATGATCCAGTTTTTTCGATTTTTCAAGTGAAGACAAATCCAGATTTCCATCTGAACTTTCAAAGTTCATCCTGTCTTTCAATGTTTACCGAACATATTAAAAACAGTTTAAGAAACATTTTATAAGCCAAAACGAAATCTGTCTGTGAGCTGCCACCAGAAGCTGAGAATATATGAGCTCTGATGCTGAATGTAAGGCAGAGGAAAAGCTGGTAATGAAGGCTGAGGACAGACTGTGAAGGTCCTCGAATACCATACCAAGGAGTTTGAACCCCAACCTGACCCTGTAGGCATCATGAAATAAGATGCACAGATGCGTATTTCAGAAAAGCATCCCTCAAACTGTGTTTCTAAGAAGTGTTGCTGAGAAGGACATTTGAAATGATTGGCTAGTGGCATGATGAACACAGGCTACAGAAGATAATGAAAACAGGGTAGACCAGCGATGGGGTCATCACAATTGCCCAGGTGAGAAAGAAGACACAAAGAGCAGAAGATGGCCATTAAAGAGAGAGCATAGTTGGCAGAGGCTGTGAGAAAGAGGGAGCAGCAAGCGCAAATGATGGGAGGACACACTTGGAGACAGTCCAAGTGTGGGACAGGGCTCCTCTACTCAGGGAGGACTCCAATGCTGTGGACTTCTCTCGTTTCATTTCTGTCGTGGATTTCTCAAAAATCAGAATTACAGTATCATTCCCCTCTCAACCCAAATATGGCTACCACGGCAGCAGACTTAAAAAACATCAGTCTCTAAGTGATGAAGAGGGATGCTGTGATGGTTAACTTTGGTTCTACCGTTAAACTTGACTGGCTACAGGGTGTCCAGATGAAACATTAGTAAACATTATTTCCGAGTGTGTCTGTGAGATTAGCATTGAGTAGACTCCATGAAGCAGGCTGCCCTCCCCAATGGGGGTGCGCATCATCTAGCCTGTAGAGGGCCCATCTGCAACAAGAGGAGGAACCAAGAGGTCTTTGCCCCTCTTTGTTTCCTGTCTGTCTGCTTGAGTTTGGACAGCTCACCTAATCTCTGGCCTTTGGGCTGGGATTCAAAACTTTGGCTCCCCTGGGGTCTGAGGCCTTCAGACTCAAGCTAAATTTTATCATTGGCTTTCTTGGGTCTCCAGCTTGAAGCAAGCAGACTATGGAACTTTTCAGCCTCCATAATCATGTTAGTCTATTTGTTACAAGAAATCTCTCTATATATAAAATCTTCTGATTGTTTCTCTGGAGAACTCTAACTAGTACAGATGCTTTCCAAACATCTCAGGAATTCAGCACATTAATGAGAGCATGAATTCAGTCTGGTTAAAAAGAAAGAAATCTATCCCAAGAATAAAGGTCACCTTCAGTAATAGAATACATTCCTAGGTGATGCCTAGGATTTGGGCATGATCAAACACAGACACTGATGTTTCCGAAATGCTTAAACTGAGAGCTTTGTTCACTTGACTCTTCTTATATATGTTTTCCACAAAAACAGCTTTAAAGGTATAGCATTTTCACAAAATAACTGCTTTTTTCTAATACCTTCCCCTTTTTTCCTTAGCAATATTCACTTCTGTGTAATAACTGCTTCAGTTAACAAGTTTGGCAGAATTCTCTTCTGTTAATCAGCATTTTCAGGTATCTTTTCTGTCACATTAGAAATTCACTTCCATGTTTTTACTGTTAATACACAACCTGAGTAGTATGTGATACTACACTAAACTACGCTGTCGCCATGCACCAAAAATGGGAAATTAAAAACTGTTTCCATGAAGATATAAGTTAAAATAACATCAAATTGCTTCTGTACTCATACACAGTTGTGCCAGAATTCAAAATTTAGGTGCTAGTTATTTGTGTGAGTGAGCTTAACCATTTGATCTTCTGCGTGGGTCTTCTTGGGCCTACCAAGACTAAAACTTCACGATGAGGAGACTCAGCAAAGTCTGCAGGGCAGTGTCCAGAGAGATAAGATATAGGAAAATGGAGAGAAGGACCCGGAGGGCTGCAGGGAGAGGGCAGGCTAGGCTAGCATACATGAATGGGCAAAAAATGATGATCTGATACAACATTAACAGTAGACTTTGACATTTTAAAAATTTATACTGTTTCTTCTCTACTATAAGAGCATTATCTGTCTCCCCACTTCCCCAAGCTAGTTATGTATTGGCTCAATTATACATTTTTGTGTGCATGAACACACACAATACAGCTGTATTTGGAAAAACAAAAACAAAAACAAAACAAACAAAAAAATTCCAAAACAAAAAAAACCTTGATGGATCCGGATGGTATTACTTTATACCTTAATGTTACTGAAACTTACTATAGGTTTCATAAACAAACTATCCACTTTAGGGTGATGGAAGGGAGAATGAGAGAGGGCCTAACAAGGCATAAATGTCCCTACTTTTAAATTTACGGCTAAACTTATTCCTTTAAGTTTATGCCACTAACTTAAGCTATGCCATAAACATAGGCAGAGTCTTTTTTTTTTTTAAGATTTTATTTATTTATTTGACAGACAGAGATCACAAGTAGGCAGGGAGGCAGGCAGAGAAAGAGGAGGAAGCAGGCTCCCCGCAGAGAAGAGAGCCTGATGTGGGACTTGATCCCAGGACCCTGCGATCATGACCTGAGCCAAAAGCATAGGCTTTAACCCACTGAGCCACCCAGGTGCCCCCGTAGGCAGAGTCTTACAAGAAATATGTATCAGAGGACTAAGTGAAACCCACAGAAAACAGAAACTATGTCACATTAAATCTTCAAGTCAGATTCATTTTCTACTGGTCTAAACAGAGAAAAATGCTATTATGATAGTATGTTAAGGACAATGCTAAGAGGAATACAAGGAAATCAGTATGTCATGCCTTTGGCAACACTCCACAAAGAGATTGTTTTTCACCCAACTGTAAGCTTCTTGAGTAAAAGGAACACGTATTATTCATCTTTTTATCCCCACAGTACTTAGAACAGCTTCTGTAGGAGTAGGCTCACAGTAATGGCTACCAAACTGGTAATTAAAATTCTCTAGGAAGCAAAGTTCTTATTCAAAATGAGTCTCCAGGCATACTGAGCACTTTGGAAGGTATGGCTGTATATGGGAGCAGGCGGCTTTACAAAAACAGTTAAGAACATGAATGAATATTCTACTTTTTTTTTTCTTAACCTAAAAAGCAAAGGTAATTCATGCACATGGGTGCTTAATATCTCATATGGGGGGGGGGGAAGCTAAGAAAAGAGACCAGGTAGGATGAACAGAGATTGTCCCGTGCAGCGAGAGCTGTCTCAGAGGAGAAAAGAAGTGGAAGCTGGGATGGTTTTCTTTTGCTTATATCAGCGTAGAAAGAAGACACAGAGGGCCCAAAGCCCAGTGGGGATTCACAGCACAACAGCACCTCCATAAATCACTGAGCTGGGTCACAGCGTAACTAACACCATCATCCCTCTGTTATCCCATTTGCTCTGCCACCAAAATGAGTTCTGTAGCTTTTAGAGTTCCTAACGGATTAGAAACCAGAAATCTGAGCTTGAAGGAACTGGAGTCCTCTTCAGTATTTTTCCAACTTTCTTTTACAGCCATAGGATGTCTTCTTCAAATAAAATTTTATAAATAACCATGATACATAACAAGGTAAAATCAGAACTGCTCTGATGTACTGTCCAGGTGCAGTAGGTAGCCTGGAATCCTGTATCGCTATGGAGGCAAAACGAGAAACTACTGACAGATTCAAACTCCTCATTTGACAGAGAGGTTAAGCTGCCACCCAGGCAGCGAATGAAAGAGCCAGAACCCAAATCTAGGAATGCCAACACCCAGAGAAGGTTCCTCCCCCTGTATTCCATGCTGTTTCTAAAAAACAGAGGAGGAGGACAGAGTTCATACTCACCATCTTTGTTCAGCCATTGCTTTCTTGTTCTGTACAAAAGGAGCTTGTTGTGGACATATGGTAAGAGGAACTTGACACACCAGCTCTCCACACCAAGTTTGTTTTCAACCAGGACTATGGGACTCCGGTTATACCTAGCTTCAGGGCATGGGATCAGGCCAATTTCATCTCTTAATATGTAAAACAAAAAGAAGAATTAAAGATAAGACTATTTGTTTTTTCAACATTTTTCAAATCCTACAGACTATTAAAAAGAAAAGTAACATATTTCTCTTTCTCTTTTTTTTAAAGATTTATTTTTTGTGGGGGAAGAGGGAGAGAGAGGAAAGGCAGAGGAAGAGGGAGAGACCCTCCAAGCAGACTCCCTGCTGAGCAGAGAGCCTGTTGTGGGCTCAATCGCAGGACTCTGAGATCATGACTTGAGCTGAAATCAAGAGTCACTTAACTGACTGAGCCACCCAGGCGCCCCCATATTTCCCTTTCTTAAAAATATTATTTAGTTTACCTGCTAGATAAGTAGAAATTTAAAAAGTGTTTTTTAATATAGATAAGAGTGCAGAAAAATTAGTATGCTGACTTTCTGATAAAAACGAAAACTTGTCTTTGGATGGAATTTTGAAAATGTCTTCCAAATTTTAAATTGCATATACTCTGAGCCCCAGTGATTCCACTGCTCAGAAATTATCCAACGCCAAAATACGCCAACAGGATGTTTACTGCAACCGTGCAACGAAACTGGAAACAATCTAACTATGTATCAGTATAAGAGGGGTAGAATAAATAGGGTAATCCATGTGGTAGAGGTGTACAAGGTAGAGGTGGTAGAGACAGATTCGTATATGCTGGTATGGAAAGGCTGTCAAGACGTATAAAACCAGAAAAAGAGCAAAATACTAAGTATATAGTGTAAAGCATTTTGTATTTCTTTTGAAGAAGGAGCCCAAGAAATTTGGGGGGAGACAAAGTATTTTATTTTTATACAGTTTAAATTTTCTAATCATTTGTATGTATTATTTCCATTTTAAAAATATGTCAACAAATGTACTTACACTTGCCTAGTAATCTATGCAAAGGAGAAACAAATTATCAATAAAAGTTATCTTTTCAATAAGATTGGGGGCCATTTTTTCTTCTTTATAATCTTTCATAAGTCATTGAATTTAAAAAAACACACTGATAAATGCTGCTAAAACACAAAATACATTTCAGAATTTAGGTCATTTTCATTTAAGGTGGCACCTATGTCCTTCAATCTGCCTCCCCTTAAATTGAAAATTTATATTTGAGGCAAAAATTTAATAAACGTACAGCAGCTGACGTACACAGTAAATGAACCAGCAAACATAAAGATGGTTTTGCAAAAACTGCACACGCCTTTCAATTACAAAGATGTTATAACTGCCTACATTAAAGAAATAAAAAACCGGTTTTCAGAGCTTATGTATGACATTTTCTATTACGTCCCTGGAATTCTCCAGCCGAGAACACAGTAGTTTGGTAGATACAAGAGGGGAAAACAGGTACAATTACAGGTTATAAGAAAAGCCCTCTTTGTTAGGCCACCATCACAAATTGGTGGGAAGCTGTGGAACTACAATAGAATTTCTCCTGGAAACTCCACACTAGATAGCTCAGACGTAACCTACTTTCTACTGATCACTTCATTAATGATACAGGGACTCATCGATAAACAAGGGTACTCTATGGGTTAAATCACTAACCATTCGTTCAAGCTGCTTTCACTTGAAGTAGATTTTGAGACCTAAGGCTTTTGGTCTCGACAACTGGCTCACCTGATTCAGAGGTGTTCTAATTATCACATCAGTACATTCTCTGAGTACCAGAAGGTACTGAGTACTATGTTAAGTCCCGAAAATACAAAAATAAAACAAGGTGGTTCCAGCCTCTGAAGTGCTGATAGTATTGATGCAAACTGTATCAATATCTATAATAAAATGTTAACACTTTGCCATTCCAGTAGTACAAAGTTTTGTAGGAAGCATGAAACAATGTTGTGCACATCTGAGCTCAACATGTGGTATTTCAAAATGTTTTGCATTTGTATTTGGTTAATGTGACATCTATCTAATTCACCATTAGGACACCTAGCCATGTCCACAGCATTTGCCTGTATCTCTGGTATTTTCTGATATTCAGGTCTTACTATATAAAATAGAACATTAAAAAATTAAGCTAGAATTAAAGAAAACAGCATAATTATTTTAAGAAAGTCTATTCTCTGAGATCTAATAACCACTTAAAACACTTCAAAGAACTGCCTAAGTCAACAATATGAATGCTAGAGTAACAAGAATAAACAAGAATAAAAGATCCTACCTTTTGGTACAGTCCATTTGCGAGGGAGGAGCAGTTACTGAAATTCACAACGTAAAAACCTGCCTTGCTCATTATTAACGCCAAAAATAAAATGTCCAGTTATTAATTCAGTACCTAAATGAAAAGGACAGAGCCATCTGCACAAATAAAAAACACACTTCTTTAGTTGGGTACCATTCTTTCAAGAACTAATTTTTAAAAAAACAATACTGTCTTAATACAGCAGATGCTCAGTAACTGCTCCTGAAAGGTTAATTATCATGCACTTCAGTGAAAATATTCAAATAAATGGTTTTCAAAGAATATCCCTTCTTGACTCTCCAAAAGAACATTATCTCTGACTTCCTTCTAATGCAATGGATCTAAGTCCTAGCTAGCTAGCTCCGTCAGGATTTCATCTACATTGGCCTTATTATCATTTGGCTTCTACAGACCTTAATTTCCTCATTTGTAAAATGGTGGAACTGCATTACATCTCTAAATAAGGGAAATGGACTGCTAGGTCTCCTCCAGCTTCCAAATTCTGACTGCGAAACCTGACAGTTATTTTCATGGAAGTGGCCATATCACGGAATGTAAAGCACTACGGAAAACATCAGAGAGAGGTAGTAGGATGTAGACAAAAGTGGTCCATCTTCCAAGGTCCAGGGTTCTAGCTAGCCTCCGTTCTACCACTGAGAGTCAAATGGGAATGTGGCAAGCCACTTGTCATCGGGATCCTTATCTGAGGAATAATAATGCCTCTTAGGAAGAACAAATACTACAAGGTAAAGCATGTGGTAAGCTGTGAAGTAACAGGCAAAGATGCAGTGTATTATCTTTAATTCAGTCAAGAGCCTGAGGCCAACCAGAAAAGTTATTTGATTAACAGACGGCAAGGTGAAGCAAAAACATTAAGCCTTTGTCAAGTGATTTGACCCTAAAATACAGTGCTTTGCTGCTTCCTAAAAATATAATCTGTACTTGATAAAGATAGGTAGGTCAATAAGCTTCCAACTTCACAGCGTATTTGACTTCAGAGTTCTCCGATGCTCAGTCCCTCAGGTCGTAGTCCACTTTTATTTCACACAATTTAGAATAGGATTCTAGAATCATTTTAAAATTGGGAGGGACCTCATTCCCCCCAGTATCTCATTTTGTCAGACAAGAAAACTGAGGTCCACTGAGGTTAAGATGATTACCCAAGGTCACACCGTCACACCGCTAATGCGAAGTTAAAAATCTGGATCTCTTAATAGTCAGCCCCAAACCCAAGACACTGAAGATAAAAAACATCAGTGAAAGCAAGCAGGATTTAGATAAATTCCTTCTAGATTTCTATTTAAATTTTAATTTTATATGCAAGAAAAGTTAGAAAACTCAAGGTGGGGGGTACAAAACTAAAAGTCTCTTTGTCTATCTGTCTACACTACTGTTTGGGTATGCACCCTTTTTTTCTAAGTGTTTTTATAGAAGTGGTATTATAGTGGACATGCTCTCCTACAGTGTTTTTTTTTTCTTTTTGTTCATTTTTATTTAAATTCAAGTTAATTAACATACAGTGTCATATCAGTTTCAGAAGTAGAATTTGGTGACTCATCACTGATATATAACACGCAGGACTCATTACATCAAGAATCCCCTTAATGCCATCTCCCATTTAGCCTATCCTCCCACCGACCTCCCCTCCAGCAACCCTCAGTTTGTTCTCTACATTTGAGTCTCTTATGGTTTGCCACCCTCTGTTTTTATCTTATTTTTCCTTCCCTTCCCCTATGTTCATCTGTTTTCTTTCTTGAAATGTGAGTGAAAATCATTTGCATTTCTCTGACTTATTTCGCTTAGCATGATACACTGTAGTTCTGTCCACGTTGTTACAATCCTACAATGCGTTTTTAGAATTTAACAATTTATATTAAACATCTTCCTCCATAATTAATTTTTGTATTTTTAATGGCTGTAAGAAATGTACTATAAATACCAGATATATCTCCAGTTTTTTCCTTGTGAAATAATGTTAAAAGAGAAATTTCTGATTCTTTTGCTACCACTAAATTACAGTCTTTTATATTTTTAGGTTTCTGAGAATTAGATCCCTTATATTTAACAAGGACACTCAAATAGTTACCTACATTACCAATGTCATAGGATTGTTAAAGACCTGAAGGTTTGGGATGGTGGAAAAGTTCTAATATCCTCAGATACCACGAACCTTACTTACTAGGTTACTTTTAAGGGTTGCTCCAAAAAAAACAGCACAATGGAATGAACCAACACCTTTACTTAAAAAGATCATACAAAGCACCAACAGCTTTCTGAGTGCTTCACTTCACAATGGAGACCCACTGACTTCCAAAAGAAGTTCAAAGTTCAGGTAACACAGACATTGACTTTACTCCTCCTATTTAGACAGCTTTTCTTGTCTGCACTTTCAGAAACATCATCAATTAAGAGTAGGCTTGCATATTATTTTCAAAAGTAGTATCACCCAGTCTCCCCTTTGGGAGGGAAGAACGGTCCTCAAATATACTAAACTGAACCCAGTAATGTGGAGTGACCATACAGAAAACTCAGCCCAAGGATTCAGGAAATGGCCAAATCTTCTTAGTCTAATAGTTATTTGGGGGGCACCTGGGTAGCTCAGTCAGTTAAGTGTCCCACTCTTGATTTCAGTTCATGTCATGATCTCAGGGTCGTGAAACAGAACCCTGAGTCTGATTCTGTGCTCAGAGCAGGGTCTGCTTGAGATTCTCTTTCTCCTTCTCTCTCTACCCTTCCCCCTCCTCGTGTTCTCTCTCTCAGATAAATAAAATCTTTAAAAAAAAGGGGGGTTTTGTCACCTTCAAACTGGAATTCTTTCCAAAATGACTAAAAAGTAAAGTTAGCAAAATATCTAAAGGAACTGACCCTTTCATATTGATAATTAAAACTTTGCTGGTGATCCAGATATTTCAGAAACCTCAAAGGCTTTCTCAATTCTAAAAAGTACAACTCCATGTATAGCTGGAATGGTATGACTGGACATATTTTAAAAACAGCTACAAAAACTGCTACTGTCTATTGAGTGTAGTGTGCAGGGCTCTGTGTTTCATTTATTTCACACAAGGAATTTAAGGTAGGAATTTTAACGCATTTTATAGATGAAGAAAGAGTCTGGTCTAAGTCTACCAGTTACTGATCAATAAGCTAAGATTCAAATCCAGGACTGCCAGATTCCAAATCCAAATTTTTACAACTATGCTATTATTTAAATATATAGATAAAAAATGAAGTATAAGAAGACAATTCAGACTTGTGGTTTCCTACTTTTCAAATTCAATTTAAAGATGTGCTTTTCCTTACTACTCCTTTACTCCAAAGTTATCACTGGGGCCTATGCACTGCTTGGGAAGGCTGTTTTGTCTGAGCCAACTCATCCATCCCTTATGTCCCAATTTAGTTGCTATTTCCTTAAAAGATTTATTTTGAGGTTCTCGTTTAAGTTAGGCCCCTCTGTTATTATTCCTTCAAAGTATCCTTCTAACTCTTTCAGGCTCCTTTCATATTCTGTGTGTTGGTTTGTTCTACGGGGCCAAGGACGATGTGTGATCTGTGCACCCCACTCCGAGACCTGCACATCCAGGGTCTAGAATTGTATCTGTCATATACAAAAAGGTGCTCTTTTGCTGAATGCACACATGGAATGAAAGAAATTAAGCCACATAGTCAAGGACTTCCATAACCTGACTCTACTATTATCTTTTCAATCACATTTTGCTACTTTGGGTTAATTCACAGTTTCGCGTGGAGGTCCTTGGCTCTGTCTCTGAGACTGTAAATCCTATCCAGCCTTCAATGTTCAGCTCAAAACCCGCCTCCCTTAAGGGCCCTGGCCTAGACACAAAAAGCCTTCCTCCTACGCCTCGTACACTCTCACAGCACTTGCTCACCATGCTTCCAGTCCAGCCTTTATCACCAGCTGCTTTGCAGGGTTAATTCACTGTGCGTGCAGGTGGGTCTAACGTCTCCATCCAGAGCTACACTGTGCAATACAGTAGTCACTAGGCACATATGGCCACTATGTAGAATTAACATTAAATAAAATATAAAATTCAGTTCCCCATTCACATTAGCCACATTTCAAGTACGCAAGCATACTAAACAGCACAGACAGGACAATGCCAGCACCACAGATACTTCTGTGCCTTGAGTATAAGAACTATGTTTTATACTTCTCATTCCACACTGTGAGGATAGTACCTATAACATCTCATCAACAGTGAGAGTTCAATAAATATTTTAAACAGTAATAAAAAAATAACTTGGTGGGCAAGAGACTTTTGATAGGACCCTAATTACACCGTAAACAGCTGTCTTCCACATCAGCATAGGCCTATTCATTAAAGCTACTGCTAGTCCCTGGGTCAAGCCTTCAGCTGTTTTTCCAGTGGTATTCTCCAAGAGTCAACCTTACAAAATTCGTATGGTATTTTTCAATTTATAAAGTATTTCACATTCACCATGCAGTTGGCTAATATGGTTTTCTGAGGAATACAGAAATTCAGGTTAAATCTAATATTTAGCTAGTGGCAGCTAAGGGCCAGACATTGGGCAAGGTTATTTTCCTGCATTCTCATCAACCTCACTAGTTCAAAAGGAGAATGAAGTTGACAGAGGGTAACCTATCCACATCTACCAGTAATAAAATCCACATCTTAACCAATGTATGTTCGACTCCTCCTGGGTAGGCATTTTTACAGAAACAAAGTCAATATGTTTAATGGAGTAGATGATGTCTAATAAAATTACAATCCATCTTGTGTGTGAGGAAAAAAGGAAAACTAAAAGAATGAAAAACTTTTTCCTATAATACTGAAAAGTGTAATTAGGTAACTAACTATTGAGATAAATAATGTCTTCTTTTTTTCTTTTAACCAGAAATACAGCCTATTTATTTTGGAAGTAAGAGGGCTAGATTAGGGCAAGAAGTACAGGCAATCAAAAAAAAAAACAAAAAAAACCCAAAAAACCCAAACCATAAGACATTTTTAAAGATGCCGTGTAGTAATATTATTGAAGATATCGTTATTATAGGAAATATATACTACAAAATGGCTGAAAATTAATATTAAACAATGAGTTAAGCTATTTAAACTCTTTGCACCTGTATTATGTATCATTTCAAATTTCAAATGCTCAACTTATTTCAAACTTTTAAATCTTTGAATGACCCAAATGTTTATTAATAATATTAAATTATGCACTGATAGAGAGCATGTGAGCTTTCATCATTAAAAATATGATTGGGGCATTAAAGTCCTTTATGAGTTTGAATAAATATGATCCAGAAAAACTGAGATGTATTCCAAACTGTGCTCTCACCCACCAAACCAGTGAACACTCAATCTGTTTCTTCAAACATAAAACACTGATTTTTAAAAAAGATTTATTTATTTGAGAAAGAGAAAGGGGGGGGATAAGGGGAAGGGGTAAGCAGACTGCCCGCTGAGCAAGGAGCCTGATGCAGGAGCAGGGCTCCATCTCAGGTCCCTGAGATCATGACCTGAGCTGAAACCAAGAGTCAGATACTTAACAGACTGAGCCACCCAGGCGCCTCTGATGGGCTTTTTCAATCTACCTTAAAGAAGAGAAACTGCGATCGCTGTTTTTATTAGGCTTCTAATCTCTGCTACAATTTCTTCAAGAAAAACAACATCAGTGATGAGAAAATAGGCCATTCCCTTAAACAAACTTTTCTTTTTTTGAGGTTGTCTCTTACTTACACTGAAGCTCTCATTTTCGAAAAGGGACTGATGCCTGATATACAAGGCATCAAAGCATTCTTTACAAGACCCAGTACCCACTATAGTTACTGCCAGGAAAACATTCCAAACACTCATTTTAAAAAAGGCAGCAGCGACAAGGGGAAAAGAAGAGGACACTCTCAGAGGCAGGTGTGTTTCGAGGCTAGCAGCGTTTTGTTTTTAATGAGGCACTATTACAGGTCTCCAATTGTGTACCGCAGGGAGCAAGACATCTGAGGTCTTCTTAATTTTTATAAGCACCGCTTTGAAGGAAAAGAACACTTCATTTAGATGTAAGGTTGGTACCTACGGTTTAAAATACATAAAAAACCATAATTCATGTGTTCCCGTTTAAAAAATAAAATATTAAAAAGAAAACCCTCACGAACAATTAGAGAAAGTGAAAATAATGTAAAACTGGATTCCATGTATCTTTCTTTTGCGGTGAGCAGGGAGAAAAGAAAGGAAGGGAAATTAAACATTCTTGCTTCTCCCTCCTCTTTTGTATACTGTAGACATTTCTTTTAATAGCTTCCTTTTTCACCCGTTACATGAAGGCAAAAGTGTCAAAAAGAATACAGTCTCTTCTGGTATCTTCCTGGAGTACTCCTAGTACCATGCAAAGGAAGGAGGGAGCGAGACGCGTGTCAGTCCTGTGGTGTCCTACTTAGAGAGGGCGGCAGCATCTGGATACGAAAAGAGTTAAAATGTTCCCCGTAACTATGAATCAGCTAATGCTAAAAAGTGTCAAGGTTTCCTGGGCTTTACACCAGACGCATCCTGTGCCTACAGAAGCTACACTGCTGTGAATGCTCTGTTCACCTTCAAGGCACACTGTTCCATCGGAGTCCCTCCACGATCTTGGGACAAGTGGGGCGAGAGTCAAAAGCAGCCTCAAACTAGCTCTAGCTAGTACACTGGCCCACTGAAGGAAAGATGATCGGTGACCCCCCCCCCACTACCGGTCCGAGATGAACCTCAGAAGAGTTGTGTTTACAAAGCATCTGCAGGACCACAACGTGCGTGCCCGTGTACCTTACACGAATGTAGGCTGGGGACACACGCGTGAAGTCCTTCGAGTTCCGTGAAGTCCCAGGGAAGGGGAGCGAAAAAAGTCGCTCCGTTGTGATTTTCCGAGGTCACTTCTGGAGACTCGCGCGCGGGCGCGTTCCGGTAGCGGAAAGCGGGCCCTGCGGCGGCCGAAGACCGTCGGGCCCCGGACCTCGATCGGTCCCCTCCGGCGAGGGGCGCGAGGGCCGGGACATGCCTCCAGAGGTCCGCTCGAGGCTCAGCCCCGCCCATGCCCGCCCCCGACGACCCCCGCAGGCGGCGGAGGCGGCGACACCGCCGGCGCGCGACTCACATGTGCGGATTCCTCCTGAAGGCGTTGGTGATGTCCTTCACCACCCGCTGCACCAGCACCGCCACCTCTTCGCTCGTCTCGGCCATGTTGGCGGCGGCCGCGGCGGCTCGGGCGCGCCTCCGGGAGAGCGCCGGGCGGCCGGCGGGAGTTCCGCGGGGGAGCGCGCGCGTGTGCGCCGGTTTGGCCGCGCCCCCGCCCCCGCCCCCACCCCCGCGGCCGTCGCAGCCGCCGCCGCCGAGCACTTCCGGGTCACGCGCCGGCGGCTGGGGCGTGGCGCCCGCCTCCCACCCGGGCTGAGGCGGACTGGTTGGTCCCCGACGTTTCGCTGGTAGCCGAGGTTCTAAGCGTCCGCGGAGATGCTGCAGATTCCTTTGCAAAGTTACTTGAGGTCGCTGTTTTACACATTTTATTCTAATTTCTGGTTCACTTGGGGCCGAAGAGGGAGGGGTCCTAGAGTCCCTCCTTAGGAGCCAGAGTCGGCGTGAAGCCCACCCCCACCCCGTCCCGGCCGCCCACTCTCAAGTGTTGTGGGAACCGACTTTCCCGGGCTTCTGCAGGAAAGTTTAACTGACGTGCGGGTCCCCCTGAGCGGTTGGTCCCTGGGCGTGTGGAGAGCCTCTTCGCTCTCTTTGCCCAGGTGCAGGGATGGCGCGGTCCTCCGACGCCGGTCGCGAGGGAGCCCAGTGGGACCGTGTCGGCGACCTCCTTCTGTACCCGCATGCCAGTTTCGGCCTCTCGGCCATTTAAAAAAAATAATAATTAAAAAAAAAAAACTTAATGTATTAAAAGAAGAAGAGAAAGGAAAGAAAAGGTGTTTCCCAGGATATGGTAGACGTACAGAAATTTTAAAATTAATTTTCTGAGTGTACTTCACTTTGTCCATCACTTGATGTGCTTTGAAGGTTGCGGGTCAGTTTCGGAGTTAGAAAACCAAGACCCTGACAGAGTTTGCTCTTGATAGCCGTTAACCTCGCTACAACTATTTTTTGTAAGAAAAGCTGGCTTTCCAATTCATTTGGATTTTGAAATGCCTTATGTCAGATTTCCCTTCACCCTTCTGTGATAGAGAAATCTGGGTGCTTTGGGTTCAGTTATCTTTACTTTATTCCTTGAGATCCATCTTTTAAAAACTTTTCAAAAGCAAGTTCATGGTCTGTTTAATGCGAAATAAAGTGGAGCGTTTGAAGGACAGTAGATGATTGTGAATGTAAAAACCATGCACTTGTTGCAAAATTCATAAAGCATTGAATGAAAACTATAAGTGAACTACATTTAGTGGGTAGTACTCCCTGTGGGTATTGATATAGGAAAGAACGTTAGGGGTTGAAGCCAATGGCCAAGGGAGAATTCCTGAGCCGATTCTATTAAAGCACGGGGACAGGACCCATGGACAGAAAGAGGTGCAGTGGGGTCAGGAGAAGTGGCCATTACATACTTTCAAGTTGAGAGGGGTTAGGGATAGCCTAAGTCTCTAAGGAATTTTGGAAGCAAGATTTCCAGGATGTTGTTGGGGCTAGCTATTGTTGGGACATGGTCGCTTATTACTGTCTAATAAAACTTTAGTCATGAGACCCTTCAAATGTATGTTGGTGGGTCATATGCTTGGAGGGTGATTGCCAACACGTATTTTGGGGGTTTAGAGATAAAGGAAATTTCTAAAGGAATTTTTATATGTTAAAGTAGAGTATCCTGGGGTGGGGGGGTGGGGGGTTGTCAGGCTAGGATTGCCTTTTTTTTTTTTTTTTAAGATTTTATTTATTTATTTGACAGGGACAGACATCACAAGTAGGCAGAGAGGCAGGCAGAGAGGCGGGGGGGGGGGGATGCAGGCTCCCCGCTGAGCAGAGCGCCTGCTGTGGGGCTCAATCCCAGGACCCTGAGACCATGACCCGAGCCGAAGGCAGAGGCTTAACCCACTGAGCCACCCGGCACCCCTAGGATTGCCTTTGCCCTTAGCAAAGTATTAATATCGAGGCGATTGAGTCCCCCAAAGAATGTCACTCTGCCTGTTTCAAGGAATTGTCAAAATTTAATAATTTTTCTTCTGCCTTTGTTTCCAACATCAGTATGTTGATAAAAGTTAGACCTGCTGTCTGGACATTAGCCTTCTGGCTTTAAAAGAAATGAGCTAGAAGTTTCACGAAATTGTATAAAAGCAAGATGGGACAGGTTTGAATTAGTAAAATTGAACAAACCTTAAGCTCTTGATAAGTTCTCAAATGAGGCAGTGAAGTGAGTGAATGTGTTTTTAGAGTCCAAGGTCAAGCATTACTTCAAATATCCTAGTTACTCTTAAGAATGTGATGCCAGTTCTTAAATGGTTTGGGTTACATCTGATAAGCCTTCCTCTTCATTTAAAGCCTTGCATCCTTTCCTAATAAAGGTAGCAAATAATTCCTGACTTCTGGGGGCACCATACTCAAAAATACAATTTTTTTTCAAAGACTTAATCTTAAAAATTAGTGAGATTTTAAAATCTTAAAATATATTTACAGGGAAAAAACCCCAAACTTTATCCTTCAATCCTGAAATAAAATTGGTGATCTAAGAAGATAATTCCTCTGTATGGTTCTGTTTATGCCTTCCCCACCTACACACACCTCGATGCACATACACCTTCTTTGTGCTCATTTGAAAGACATGAATTATATATCTCATGTTTCTTCTAAGAGTTCACAAATGCTTTTACTCAATTATTAAGGAGCTACTATGTTTACAACTCAAATTTTTTAGAATTGGAGCATATTAGAACTGTGATCTAACCCCCTAGATTTGCAGATAAGGAAGTAGGTTCAAAGAAGTTCAGTATTGAAATTCATGAGACTTACTTATGATATGTATATAAGAATAGGATATGATAAATTTATCATGATTTGTCGAAGGAATCAAAGATTTTCATTCAGGGATCTGCAAAATAATGAAATATTGTAAATAGCTTAAGTGCCCAATGTTGGGAATTTAGTAAATTACAGTAAATCTGTAAGTTGAAATACTATTTAGTCATTTAAAAGCACATTAAAACTGGAAGAATATATACCAAATTCTTAGTGGGAGATTTATTTATAGGAGAATTTTACTTTCTAACACAAAGAACAAATTACAATTTTCATAATTTAAAAAGAATTTTTTAAGTATATGTTAATAAAAACAAAGATCTATTTGTTAGTTAACTATTTCTTACTCATATTTTTTTAGAGATGTATTGAATTTTTTAAAAGATTTTATTTATTTAATTTATGCAGAGAGAGTGCACAAGCAGGGGAAGGCAGAGGGAGAAGGAGAAGCAGGCTCCTTGTTGAGCAGGGAGCCAGATGTGGGAATCAATCCCAGGACGCTGGGATCATGGACTGAGCTGAAGGCAGATGCTTAATGGTCTGAACCTCCCAGGCGCCCAGAGATGTATTGATTTTTAAGTGACTTTAAGTGACCTCTAATGTATCTGTGAAAATATTTCGACAATCTGCCCTTCCTCCCCACTCATGCTTTTCATATTATAGAAGACTATTTGATGGTGGGGAAAAGGTAGATATGTAATGACAAAAAGAAATACCAAAACAGCATACAAGACAACCCTAATTATATATATAAAACAAATTATATGTAATATCAATGTAATCACATATACATCTGTATAATAGACCAGGAGGATATAAAATGAAATGTTAATAGTTGTATCTGTATGATAGAATTACTAGAGATAATTAAGACCTATGTATATTCTTACATAAAGAATTATCTCTATCTTCTGGGTATTCCAAACTTTCTATAATGAAAAACCTAATATATATGCTGATGGCCTTGCTAGGAAAGAAGACAAGATGATTTTTTTTTTAAAGATTTTATTTATTTATTTGACAGAGATCACAAGTAGGCAGAGAGGCAGGCAGAGAGAGAGGGGGAAGCAGGCTCCCTGCTTAGAAGAGAGCCCGATGTCGGGCTCGATCCCAGGACACTGGGATCATGACCTGAACTGAAGGCAGAGGCTTTAACCCACTGAGCCACCCAGGTGCACTGCCAAGGTGATTTTAATGACAAACCTAGTATTACTTTTGTGAAGAACCATGGAGAAACTTACAATGTTTCCAATTTCACTCTGTTATTCTACTTAGATCACTATGATGTGTTGTTTATTTACTCCATTTATTTGAAGTCCATTTCCCATGGTAATGTTACATAAGATAGAGTGTAAATAGTACTAGCTATTATTACAAAAACAATGAACTTCTTTCCACTAAGAAAAAGTAAGTGTTCAATTTTAAATGCTTCGTAATATTACCATTGTAACTATATAGTCATAGTATGCCAAACTTCAATTTTATCACTATCATAAAATTTAAAATCCAAGAACTTATTAACAAATAGCAGGGAAATAATGCTTGTCAAAAAGCTACACTATCAATGTGTTTTTATGAATTCTTAAAAGTTAACAGAAGTAGTAATCATTTTTAAAGTTTTTATTATATTAAATACCACTTCAAAAAATGGAATAGAAATTAATAAATGAATTTTAAATAACATGTGCATTAAACTTAGGAGAGTTTTGGTATACTCTTTGCCTTGGTGTATGGGTTTATTTTCGCCAAAACAAAACTTCATAGACAATCAAATACTACTTTTTTAAAAGTTACAAAACCATGAATACAAATGCCATCTATTCTTACACTTAGTTGTTATTGCTAGCCCTTCATTATTCTAATTGTTGAGATAAACAGGAGAAGATGCATATGATCTCATCTTTAAACTATGAAGCACTATATAAATTATGACTTATTTCTGTGGATAAAGAAAGCCTCATTATGAGTAATGAGTAAAACGTTATGAGTAAAACAATAGTAAACCAAGACTAACTGAATACTATCAATATTAAAATCTAAAACAGTTTAAAGAAAATTATTATACTGCAATTGTAGTCTCCTAGTTAAAACGTGAATTTTTTTTAACCTGACAAGTTTGATAATTGTTATCAAGAAGCTAATCATGAAGATGACTTTAAATGACCAGTTAATGCTGATGTTAGAATCCCTGAGGATACAGAAGTGAGGATACTAGTTGAATAATAAGGTTTTTGTTGCTGAGTAAGTGATATTTTTCTTGACATTTGATAGT